GGGTAGTAAGGGAAATTAATATTATACAAGAAACTTTAGATTTCAGGGGGGGGTAGCAAGGGACATTAATACCATATGATTATACATGCTTTGCAGACGGGTACTCCATTTGTATAAGAAATATTTGTCTGATGTACAATTACAGCATATACATACAATAACCTATTCTGAATATTTAATATACAAATGGAGTACCCGTCTGCAAAACATGTATAATCATATGGTAGGGCGAACCGTGTCAGTTATATCTCCCTTCTATTCCTTACTCCCTGCTGCTTCACCTTTAACAAAGAGAATAGAATATATTCTATCTCTCTTTGACCTTTAAACTTAGTAAAATTTGAATAATTTGAGAATGTTATCAAGACATTGAAGAATTGATTTGAAGGATACTGTCTCGAGGTGAAAGCATGTATAATTTGAAATTTCAAACCGAGATATAGGTTTTTAGAAATTCATTCTTATTGGTTTAAATTGTTGCATTTTTACTGTCTAATTTTTACTGATTCTTTTCTTGAATATTCTTATTTCTCTTTACCTATTTCCTTTTTACTCTCCTTTATCTACTCTATCTTCTTATATTTCTCTTCACCTATTTGCTTTTTACTCTCCTTTATCTTTCCTACCTTCTTATATTTCTCTATGACATTATACTTTCTTGTAATTCATGGTTTTTTAGTTATAATTGTTTATCCGGTGGACATTATACATTGTATACTGTCTGAACACTGTAAACTGTAAAGGGTGATTTTACACCGTTCGCTACATTTTTTAGTCGGTCACTTATATGTAGGTTACAGTTTGTTTCAAGCAATTAATGAACAAAGGAAATAAGTTTTTGCCACAAACTCAAATTTTTTAATCCCTACATTTGGGCAGACGCTGAACTCCAACCTTCGAGTGTGCGAGGTGGGGAAGACTTTACTGCAGATTTTACTTTTGTATACATGACCAGTTTTTCAACAATTTTCAATTAAATTAGTATTTATTTAAGGTTAGGTTAGGTTAAGACACTTTCTGGGCCGAGCGCTGCGGCTAGGACAGACTAGGGGGCCGAGCGCTGCGGCCTCGGGTTAGGTTAAGTTATGACACTTTCTGGGCCGAGCGCTGCGGCTAGGATTCAATCTCGATCTACAAATGTCATCCACCTTCATCATGCTTTTAATTAAGCGTGGCATTGAAGTCTTCCCCACCTCGCTGACTCGAAGGTTGGAGTTCAGCGTCTGCCCTATATTTGTGCAACCCGATGTCGTGGACATTTGATATTTCATGTTATGAATTCTATTAGATCAAAAAGTTTAAGTTTAAAATATCAAATGTTTAAACCATTAGGTTTAAAAGATATGTGCATTAAAAATTTTTTGTTTGTGGCAAAAACTCAGTTCCTTTGTTTTCTTTGCGCATTGTGTAGCTACCATGATTTTATTTTGTTTATATTTTTTGATTTTCATTTGTTTTTGTTCTGTTAGTTGTCATCAAAGTTACGAATAGGATATTTGTATTCAGGGAGAGACAAGTGGGAAGAGTAAGGGGGGAGGAGGAGGCGGAGGAGGAGGCGGAGGAGGAGGAGGAGGAAGTGGAGGTGCAGGAGGAGGTGGTGCTGGAACAAGCAGGAAAAGATCAAGAAGAGTTGATCCTCCAAGAACACCTGGCAGGATCAGTCCATTAGGTAGGATCAGTGGTACAGTAAAGTACAGTCAAATAAACCATCTAGAGCTGTACAATGTACAGTACAGTGCATCACCGTACATTTTAGTACATTACGATTTATTTTCCAGAGCTGGAAAATTTACAGAACAGTACAGTACAGTACAGTATACCTTCTAGGTGTACATTGAACATGGTAGTTTACATTCCACTTTTCCAGGTGCTGAGAGAGAAAGAGAGTTTCCAACAACAAAAGTGGGAGTTCCTCAAGGTACAAATACGTAAAGAAACATAAACAGATTTCAAACCCCAGTCTTTTAAATTAGAATTAATTATCTAAACTATTCAAATATCATATCAAAGTGTGCCTCAAATAATAGTATGTTCTACAGCTTACTGGTTCTTCTCCTCAGCTTGAGCCGGCGCTCAGGAGAAGTGGTTTAACCTAGTCTACGCGGTTTAACTATATCCGTATTCATAAAATCTGGTCCCAGGGCACATTTACAGAATTAAATCCATTTCCAGAAACTTAAAGTGGGATTCTAATTCTGTAATCAAAGAATTGAAAAATGACGATAATCATTCCAGTGTTTTCTGGTTAATCATATATCTAAATACTTTCATTGTCTGGGGGTCTGCTTGTTTGTTTATTTGTTTGTATCTAATAATCGTCAAAACAGCTGAACCGATCAGACACAGACACAGACTTCACATGTCCCAAGGGATTTTTTATTAATGATCAAAGTTCAAAATTTTGCCTCCAACAAAATTGGATTGTCATTAAATTTTGAAAATCCACGAACATTTTTTGTTTTTATTTTACAATGTATCCAAAGAGAAAATGTGAAATAGAAGGTGGGTGCGAAGCGCTCTAAAAGCCTAGTATTGTAAAAACTTGTTGTATATAAAAAACCTGTAATCTAAAATCTTTTTTCTGTAATCTGAAATTTGTTATCTGTAATCTGTAATCTGTAATCTGTAATCTGTAATCTGTAATCTGTAATCTGTAATTTGTAATCTGTAATCTGTAATCTGTTATCAGTAATCTGTAATGTGAAATCTGTAATCTGTAATCTGAAATGTGAAATCTGTAAAGTGTAATCTGTAATCTCTAATCTGTAATCTGTAATCTGTAAACTGTAATCTGTAATCTGTAATCTGTAATCTGTAATCTGTAATCTGTAATCTGTAATCTATAATCTGTAATCTGTATATAAACGTATATAAAGGTGTTGACATGGGAGGGGACTCAGATCGCCAGTATGGAAGCTACCATTCTCACAATATACATTCAGGTTAATTTACAATCTGCACTTTTCAAACTAAATAGAAACTTTATCCATGTTCTATGGTCTAAGTAATTATTCCTTTGAATTCAAAAGTTTTTGGTTGTGGATACGGAATTACAATATCAGTAGAATTTATGATCGTTAAAGACAACCTACAAGCCGTATCTAGCCTCATTTGGATCGTTTTAAGAAAAATTCAATAAAACTTCAAACGTTCGTTTCTGCATCGTTTTTGCTAGGTTTTTTGTTCTTTTTTTGTTCGTTTTTGCTTATACCTCCAGGGTCAAAATTTGACAAAGTTAAGAAATAGCAAATGTTTAGAATAAAAAACTTAGAAAACATAAATCTGCATTTTTTGGGAAATTCCCTAATTATCCAGTCATTTGAGAAATTTACAAAATCTTAAAAATATACCGCCCTCAAATTGCTATAGAAATTTGGGAAATTTCTGGAATATCCCAATTGCCTGGGTCTCTGGGAAATTTTAAAAAATACCTGGGTATCTGGGAAATTACAAAATGCCAGGATATTTGGGAAATTTCCCAAATGTCTAGGTTTTAGGGAAATCCCCGAAATATCCAGTCATTTGAGAAATTCTTTAAATCTTAAAAATATACCCAGGCATTCTCTAATTCCTATAGGAATTTGGGAATGCTTGGGTATATGGGAAACTTCCCAAATTCCTATTTTCTTTAATAGTAAATAGCTGTCGGGTCATGATAGAAAGAATGGGGGAAGAGGAGAATTCAGAGATTGGAGTAAGGGGGAATTTCTTGAGTAAGGGGGGAGGAGGAGGCGGAGGAGGAGGCGGAGGAGGAGGAGGAGGAAGTGGAGGTGCAGGAGGAGGTGGTGCTGGAACAAGCAGGAAAAGATCAAGAAGAGTTGATCCTCCAAGAACACCTGGCAGGATCAGTCCATTAGGTAGGATCAGTGGTACAGTAAAGTACAGTCAAATAAACCATCTAGAGCTGTACAATGTACAGTACAGTGCATCACCGTACATTTTAGTACATTACGATTTATTTTCCAGAGCTGGAAAATTTACAGAACAGTACAGTACAGTACAGTATACCTTCTAGGTGTACATTGAACATGGTAGTTTACATTCCACTTTTCCAGGTGCTGAGAGAGAAAGAGAGTTTCCAACAACAAAAGTGGGAGTTCCTCAAGGTACAAATACGTAAAGAAACATAAACAGATTTCAAACCCCAGTCTTTTAAATTAGAATTAATTATCTAAACTATTCAAATATCATATCAAAGTGTGCCTCAAATAATAGTATGTTCTACAGCTTACTGGTTCTTCTCCTCAGCTTGAGCCGGCGCTCAGGAGAAGTGGTTTAACCTAGTCTACGCGGTTTAACTATATCCGTATTCATAAAATCTGGTCCCAGGGCACATTTACAGAATTAAATCCATTTCCAGAAACTTAAAGTGGGATTCTAATTCTGTAATCAAAGAATTGAAAAATGACGATAATCATTCCAGTGTTTTCTGGTTAATCATATATCTAAATACTTTCATTGTCTGGGGGTCTGCTTGTTTGTTTATTTGTTTGTATCTAATAATCGTCAAAACAGCTGAACCGATCAGACACAGACACAGACTTCACATGTCCCAAGGGATTTTTTATTAATGATCAAAGTTCAAAATTTTGCCTCCAACAAAATTGGATTGTCATTAAATTTTGAAAATCCACGAACATTTTTTGTTTTTATTTTACAATGTATCCAAAGAGAAAATGTGAAATAGAAGGTGGGTGCGAAGCGCTCTAAAAGCCTAGTATTGTAAAAACTTGTTGTATATAAAAAACCTGTAATCTAAAATCTTTTTTCTGTAATCTGAAATTTGTTATCTGTAATCTGTAATCTGTAATCAGTAATCTGTAATCTGTAATCTGTAATCTGTAATCTGTAATCTGTAATCTGTAATCTGTAGTCTGTAATCTGCAATCTTTAATCTGTAATCTGTAATCTGTGATCTGTAATCTGTAATCTGTAGTCTGTAATCTCCAATCTTTAATCTATAATCTGTAATCTGCAATCTGTGATCTGTAATCTGTAATCTATGATTTGTAATCTGTAATCTGTAATACGTAATCTGTAATCTGTAGTCTGTAGTCTTTAATCTGCAATGTGCAATCTGTAATCTGTAATCTGTAATTTGTAATCTGTAATCTGTAATCTGTAATCTGTAATCTGTATTCTGTAATCTGTAATCTGTTATCTGTAATCTGT